GTGCGTTTTATACCGACCTATAGTCGATTCTTAAAATATGTCAGTAATAAAGACCGTTAATTTCTCGGAATTCAATAAAAGTTAATCTTTCTTAAAGGAAAAATTAACTTTTATTTCCTTAAAAAAAACTATATATTGAAAGGAAGTTCCCTCTACTCCCGATAATAATGTTTTGTATCTTATTATTTTTTTCTTAAGATCCAAAGCAGATGCAATCTGAAAATAAAATTTAAATGAAAATTCGACGAAGTAGGAAGTTGGCTTGAATAACCAATTAATCCTATAATGGTACTTAAGATGGTCTTCTGAAAAGGGGCGCGGGACAAACGACACAGGAAACGCCAATTAAAAAAAGTTTGACAGTAATTTTAGAACAATATCTGGGAAGACATCTATACTCAATATAATCCATAGAAGAGACATAGAAGGATAAAGGAAGAGAACAGGTAAACAGACTATTCAAAGAGACCCTCGTTTCAAGTTCGAAGAGTAGGCTAATATGTTCTTTAACAAGCTTCAGAGAAATGAGTGTTGGTGGATCTATAAGCAGAGGGAGAGAGAGAGGGGAGGGAGAGGAGAGAGAGAGGGGGGGGAGGGAGAGACAGAGGCAGAGAGAAGTGAGAGAAAGAAGAGAGAGAGAGAGTGAGTGAGTGAGTGAGTGTGAGATAGATAGATAGATAGAGAGAGAGAGAGAGAAATGGGGGGGGTTATGAAGGGAGAGCGCAAGACAATGAGAAACACACGCAAATATGTGTGAATGTATGCATGCATGTATGTGTATTATATATATGTATCTATGTATAATATATATATATATATATATTATATATAATATATATATATAATATATATATATATATATATTGTGTGTGTGTGTGTGTGTGTGTGTGTGTGTGTTGTGTGTTGTGTGTGTGTGTGTGTGTGTGTGTCTTCGTTTATTTAAAAAGAGCGAACAAAATGATCTTCAGGTGATATTTAATGATGGAACGAATAGGTATATAAAACAAAGATAACACGAGAGCAATAACTCGTGGAATCGAGAAAAGGTGCTGATTTCTGCATTTATTTACCAGTTCACAGTTGGAGGATTTTCCAGACTGACTCCGGAATAATCGTTTTCCAGAAATATGGATTAAATGTTCGAGGAAAGCATTTTTTTTTTTTTTTTTTATCCCTCTCTCTCTCTCTTTTTCAATATCTGTCTCTCCCTCTCTCTAACCCTTCCTTCCTTTCTTCCTCCTTCCATCCCTCTCTCTTTCACTCATTACATTCCTCCGTTTCCTCTCTCTCTCTTCTCTCTCTTTCACTCCCTCCTCCTCCCTCTCTCTTTCACTCATACACTCCCTCCGTCTCCCTCTTCTCCCTCCCCTTCTCTCCTTCTTCCTCCCTCTCTCTTTCACTCATACACTCCCTCCGTCTCCTCTCTCTCCCTCTCCCTCCTCTTTCTCTCTCTTTCTCTCCCTCCTCCTCCCTCTCTCTTTCACTCATACACTCCCTCCGTCTCCTCTCTCTCCCTCTCCCTCCTCTCTCTCTCTTCCTCCTTCCCCTCTTTAATACACACCTTCTCCTCCTCTTCCTCATTAACTATTTCCCCAAATTCACCATCATTATACCATCTCCTCGACCTAGTATTCACGGCCCGAGCGATCTTCCCTTTCACATTTACGGCTTATGTAAGCAATAACTCTCTTAAAGCGTGAAAATATATCCTTTGATTGGCGAGAGGGCTTCTGGTCGCCCCTGCACTGGGGTCTTCCGGAGAGGTGCTCGTATTGACTGTCGGTGACGCGGTAGTGTTCGGGAAAAGATGGAGGGAGGGAGGAAAGAAGGAAAGGTGGGAGGGGAGGGAGGGAGGGAGGGGGAGGGAGGAGGGAGGGAGGGAGGGAGGGAAGGGAGGGGAGGAAAGAGGGGGGAAGGAGGAGGAGGGAGGGAGGAAGGAGGAGGAAGGGAAGAAAGGAAGGAGAGGGAGGGAGGAAAGGAGGGAGGGGGAGGAGGAGGAGGAAGAGTGGAGGAAGGAGGAGGAGAGAAAGTGGGGAGGAAGGGAGGAGGTGAGGGAGGGAGAAGGAAGTGTGGAAGAAGGGAGGAAAGGAGTAAGGAAGGGAGGAGGGAGGAGGAGGAGGAGGTCGGGTTGGAGGTGGAAGTGTAGAGGAGGAGGGAAGGAGGGAGGTGGAATTCTGGAGGAGGATAAGGAAGTCGGGTTGGAGGAGGAAATGGGGAGGGAGGTGAAAGGAGGGTTACGGGAAGAAGGGAGGAGAGGGTAGGATGTGGGGAGGGCGATTGGAGGAAGAAAGGGAAGAGGGAGGAGGATGAAGAGGCGGTAAGGATTGGGAGAGGAACAAGAGGAAAAGGAGGGCGACTGTGTGGTGGAACTGGAAAAGGGAAGAGAGGAGGCAGCCAAAGATAAATAATTAAATAAGCAGCTATCCCACTATTAGAAAAAGGACAAAATGTCGAGCTGTTGAATGTCATCAGTTAATTTGGTTTTGGGAAACCCAATAACGTCAATTTTAATGTCAGTCATAAGCGTAGGTTTACAAAATTTATGAAAATGCTCTGGCGTCCGCTTATGTGATATTGCTGTTATAAAATACAGGAAAATGACAAATGACACCCCCCCCAAAAAAAAAAAAAAAAAAAAAAAAAAAAAAAAAACGTTAGGGGCTCTCATAACTGGTTGATATTGTATGAAAATATTCGGGTCTTATTAAAAAAGGTGTTTTACAAATATAAAGATTAGCCCTGTTCATAACACTGAAAGGGAAATACCTGTATTGTATTCTTTTCCCAATACGCTGTATTTGTGTCGTATTTAAGACTGTGACTGACTGGGCTAAGGTCTGCGTTGGTTACTTTGTGCCGATGGGTCTTTTTATAATGTAATATATTACGACTGCGAATATGGGTTCTGAAAGAGTATTGTTGTAAGAGGAGAGGAGAGAGAGAGAGAGAGAGAGAGAGAGAGAGAGAGAGAGAGAGAGAGAGAGAGAGAGAGAGAGAGAGAGAGAGAGAGAGAGAGAGAGTTTAATTTGGTATTTAGTAGTAAAAACACGAGTCGTCAAAGTTAGTACTTAATAGCGTCTTAACTTTGTGTTAAGTGGTGCACTGCAGTCCATAAATGGCCTTTGAGACTCATATACTGTCTCGAGTTTGCTGACCTGCTCACTCCCTCTACATCTGCTCAGCCTATGGTACCATATGCAGGTGATGAAGCACAAGAGTTACCTAGTGGCGATTTACCTGCACTACTTCTGGAAGCTAGAATAGTCTAAGTTGTTGCGGGAGGAAGAAAAGATACCCCGCTATCTTTATTATATGAGGCTTAAGTTCCTATCTTTCCAACACCAGTGTGGCTGCTGCAACTGCCTTGTGACTTTTTTCTCTCTCTTTCTTTCTTTTCTGCTTTTGACTTTAATAAAAATGCAAAGGTTGGCTATGAGTATTGACTGTATTATTTTTTTATGCAAATAATTGTCGTTAGTGCAAATTAAAACTTACATCCTCTTGCGTATATGTTAAATCAGTATAAAAAATGAATTGGGATCTTATGTAATATATTATTAAATCTAAATAAAATAACCATAGTCATGGTGTACCCAAGTTTTCGGATATAAGTTATTTCACATACCTTTTCACATATTATAAAGCAAATTCTGACAATTTTTAAACATGAAACTACCGAAATTATCCCTTTCATAATTGCTGAGTTTTGCTCCAAAAATACCTTTAAAATCTTCTTTGATCAATTTTTCTATTTATTGCCGTCTTGGGCGAATGTAAACATCCTTGACGCTGATAATTTTATAGATCAAGAGAAAAAATGTCTTGCAACGAAAGCATTATACATATTTTTAATATAACCCTTCATTTTGAACTAGCATCTCTGACTTTGCTAACTCTGATTATTTTAATGATGTTTTTCAAAACCAAAAATCATACGTTTTCGTGTGTGTTTTTCTTTTTTTTCTGGAGAATAAATTATGACAGACTTTAGGCTAATTTACCATGTTCAGGAAAATCGAGAAAAAAAAATGCATGAATGAATGCGAAGAGGCGGGGAAGGTTCTGCAGTTGCCAACTAGGATTTTCATCAAAACGGAATGGCGCTACCTTTCAGATTTTCTACATCTGCCTGCTTTTTTCTTTTTTTTTTTTTGAGAGTTTATTTTTAGGTTTGATGAGTCAAGGCCTTGCGTTCTAGGAGTAAGATAGTGGACTAAATCTTATAGCACCTTGACTGCCTTGCTCAAGTTCGCTTCACGCCCTTTGACCTCAAATAACCTGTTCATCTGTTCGCTATCCTTTTTTTATGTCACGTAGGACAAAGCCATTTTTAAAGGACTTAGGGATCTGATTTATATATATGTATATATATAGGTAGATAGATATAGATATATATGTTATGTCACGTTAGGACAGAGCCGTTTGTTAAAGGACTTTGGACCTGGCACCGACTTCCCTCTGTGGGTGCCATAGCTAAAGGTGCTGTCACACTAGCACTTTTTCCGTCATTTTTTTTGACAATTTTATTTAACATTCTCGAATATAGCTCTTGATTTGAGTATGCTTGGCTGAAAAAGTTGACGTTAAGGTTTTCAGACGGAAACGATCATTATCGTCTGACTGGAAAATCGACAATTCGCTCAAAAATGGGAAAAAAAAAATCAGAAAATTGTAAAAAAAATGACGGAAAAAAATGCCAGTGTGACAGCACCTTAACCTCGTGTCGCGGGCAGGATTCGTCCCTCACGATGGGAAAGTGACCTCAGACGCGCGCGGTACAAAGATCATATGTTTTATTACCCTTATATTATACATGTAATATCACGGGTATGATGTCTGATGTACGTGGAATTATCATATATAGCTGTACATTATATTTTTTTTACTTTCCTGTATAGAGATGTGCTACATTATCTAAATCAGTTTCATTATTATTTGTTGCTTTGCCTTCAAAGCCAGTCCTGTCATGCACAGTTGAGCCACTATGCACATATTCTAAA